TGTGGTCTTAAAGTTGAGAAAAGTTCTTATAAGCTCACTGCGGTGAATAATTAGGATGATTGGAATGAATAAGGTAAGTGAGGAATAACTTTGAGACACTGTAAATGGCAAAAAAAAAAAAATAAAATAATAATAATAATAATACATACAAAATAAATAAATTTAATAATAATAATAATAATAATAATAATAATAATAATACATTTCACCAAAACTAGACACAACTAGTTTAAAAGTGTTAGCCAACATTTTTTACATAATTCGTTATAATTCATTTTTTCTTATTCTTTCCACTTTTGTGGAGTGCTTTTGTTCTTGCCTACAGTGTGAACAAGTAAAGTTACACGAGACATGAAGAAAAATAACACAATAACAGCTATTTTATTTAATTATGCGAAGTGGAAAGAGACATAATTAAACTTGTGAATGTGCAGTTATAAAAAACAACGTTAAGTATTCTACATTCACAATGCTTTTGCTGCCAGCCACAGTGATGTAAGGTCAAAGGTTATCTCATCTCGCCAACTCTGGAATCATCTTCATTATGTTCTGTTTGTGCCGGAAATTGCAGCGTGAGGGGAGATTCATGTACCGTTTTCAATATGTGGTATTTAGTAATAATAATAGTAATTCCCATTGCGCATGAAGCCAGAGGTAGTAACGCCACGCAGGGCAAGAGTCCAGGAAAAGGCAGCAGTACGAAGCCAGACAAAGCTGAGGTAGTTCTGGTACCAAAAAAAAAAAAAAAAACTAAACAAAACAAAACAAAAAACGCTCAATTCACTCAATAGAATGAATCAGTAAAAAGCAGTTTTATTATAGATACAACATTTTTGGTAACAGCATCTGAAAAGTATTTTTGGTATTATTTGATACCTTTTTCTGTAATTAATAATATATACATTTCAGGTGCCGTTACCAAAAATCCGGAAATTAAAAAAAAAAAAAAAAAAAAAGAAAAAAAGACATACAGAGAGAATCAAAGAAACCGATGAAATATCTGACTAAAGTGGATTGTGAATCTAAGGCTACGTTTATATGATGTCGGTCTGAACAGAAGACGCAAAAGTGGCGTCGTGTCTTCACTTTTTATTCCGCATTTAGACGAGTGTTTTCAGGAGGAAATCTGCGTGCATGAAGTGATGCAAAAACGTGTGGAATTTGATTGGGTATGCACACCAGGTTTCTGTTTTCTGTATGTATGTGACGTAAACGCGTACACGACGTGAGCAGATCTGACAAGAGTTCTGCATCTTGGGCAGTGTAGACAGAAACACTACGGCAGAGCGTAGTCAACTTTTTCACTCTGGAGGGTGATTTCAGATTTTTGTGTTTTTAAGTCTCAAAAACGTTGTCACCGTCTAAATGAAAGGCACTGCCGATAAAATATTAAGTCATTTTTACCCACAAGCGTTCTCATGTGAAGAGGCCCTAAAGCTGAGCTCACAAGTAATTCCTCTTTCCTTTAACTAGGCACAGAAATTGAAGTAAACTTTAGTTTTCCTTCATAAAAGTCATGTCGTGAGCTGTGCTAACTAATCAGTTCCAAAAAATGAAAATATGTAGTAAACTTTACTTTAAAGGGACAGTCCAGAATTTTGGACATAGGACCTCATTTGTAGACCATTTGTAGTTGCAGACCCCACACCAGCCAATCAGCGAAGAGCCGTACATTCGGTGTTGGCAACGATTCCCGAGATCGAGGATTTAAAGCCGGAACAAAGACAATGTTTGGTGAATTTTATCAAGAGGGAAAGACGTTATTGACCTTCTTCCTACAGGATTTGGGAAAAGCTTAATAGACCAGTTAGCCCTGTTAGCGGCGCATTACATACGTCGTGACCAAATAGCAGAGATTGGTTCATTGAAAAAAGTATCCATCTACCGTCGAGCAAACTAATCCTAATGCTGCAAGGTCAGACGGTTTCCACGAAGTAAAACCGGCTGATGAATCAGGCTAACTGTTTTTGGGATTGGGCCGTTGTGCTTCGTGTAGTAAACATGGGGTAACGAGAAACGATTAATACCTCACGACCAGCTCCTGATCGGCAATCGTACGTCGCAAGAAAATCAAACCTGTTTGAAATCCAGTCGCCTCTCGTGAAGGTTTTGCATTGTTGAAGTAGTTCCACGAGCTGTGAACTTTTAAACCTGTGATACAGTTTGAGCTGGGGCTGAGTGAAATGATCAAAAATATCGCACAGTGTATGTATGGCATTACACAGTGTCACTACTGCACTACTCTTTATGCTTTCTACTATGTTATATTATTGATCTCTCATCAAAAACATGCCTGAAGAAGGTTTAGATTCTGTTCCCACATGACAGTTCTCTACAAATAAATCAATACTAAATGTACATGAGGATACAACACTGTGCACATCAACGTGACAAACCTGATGAGATGTGCAGTGGTTTCATTAGTGGGATGCGCAAAGATTGTGTTGTGAAAATGCTCTGAAAGGGGAGTAACAGTTCCCGCAGTGAAGTGTTTTAAGTCTCGTCTTAAGACCCACTTTTATTCTCTGGCTTTTAACACTGCGTGACTTGTGTGCTCCTCTGTTTTTTGTTTTGTTTTTATTTATTTATGGCTATTTTATGATTTTTCTCAAATTTTATTTTACTTTAGTATTTTAAGACTAGTATGATCATTTTAGTAATTAATTTTATCATTTTATTATTATTATTATGTATTCATGTAGCACTTTGGAAACAGTTTGTTTGGGAAATGTGCTCTAGAAATAAAGTGGATTGGATATTTTTTACTTTTTATTTAAAAAAAAAAAAAAAAAAAAAGAAGTTAACATGGTGATCTAAATATGTTTAGAGAAGTAAAATACCGCTTCTTTGACAAAAAGTAAAGCTGAGGACTTGAAAGTAGCTTTTCCTAAAACTTTTCACTAAACTTTTCCTACTAATCACAATTTTCTTTTCCAAAGGCGACTTCATATCCGTCATTGGGCGAGACAGGGTTTGAAAAATGGATGGATTCTTGTGCAAATCAGGTCTAAATTTAGAGCAGAACCGATTGGAATGCGCGGCCCGGGTTCAGATGCAGTCAGGTGAAATGAGATTGTTTACTGTGCCATCTGCCACCTCTCGACAGGTGCGGCTCCATCCCATAATATGAGGGGAGGGTTTGGCAGGGCGCTGATGACTTGATGCAGTGGAATGAAGAGAGCGGAGCTGATCAGGCCCTCGCCGCGCAGTCGTGTCTGACAAACTGTTGGCTTTCACATGGCTCTGTGCGCAGGGACTGACTCCAGGCAGTTAGCAGTGGCTCCCAAGCACGACGAACGCTTCGGAGTACAGAGGTTTGGAAAATCAACAAGTGAGATTATTTGGGCTTTTTAGATTCTAGAAAGTGATGGTGAGGGGCAAGAGCCAGTTTTTACTATTGATTACGTTGTATTTTGCCCATGTTCAAGTTGCTTCTGTTAACACGTTTTCTTACATATGCCATTTTTGTCCAAATTTTGGGGTTTACAAATTAAATTAATGAATTAAAATCAGTAATGTGCATTGACGTTTATGAGAAGGCAACCAGACCTGGAGTGGACGCCAATATTCAGTCGATAACAGTTTAATAACTTGTTATGTAAACTACATAGCAATTTAGTATATTTATTTTTACTCACATTAAAGGGACAGTCCGGAATTTTGGACGTAGGGCCTCATTTCCTAGTGAGCCAGAGTGTTGAAGACGTGTGGAGACACTTTTTAAAACATTCCATCCAGTCCTTGTATTTGCAGAGGTCGCTGGTGCTAGGCTAGTGCATGCCAAAGGTCATAGTTAGCCTGTTGCTAAACACAGCCTTACCCACTCCACAAAACACCCGAAGCAAAACAATTATAACGCCAGACTGTCGATGTAAATGTCTGTGTTGATAAAATAATTGTAGATTTTATTCATGTGGTTTGTGGAGTGGGTAAGACTGTTTTTAGTGGCAGGCTAACTATGGCCATTGACCTGCACTAGCCTAGCACCAGTGACCTCTGCAAATACGAGGACTGGATGGAATATTAAAAAAAGTGACTCCACACGTCTCTAACACGCTGGCTAATTAGAAAATGAGGTCCTATATCCAAAATTCTGAACTGTTCCTCTAATTGCATGTATACTGTGTCATTTTGGAGTCAAATTAGAGAAGCCTAGACCATATAGTTTATTTATTTTTTGCATATATTGGACTGTATTTGACACCATCTTTGTACAAACAGGGCTATTTGTTTCTACTCCTACACCTTATTTATGCAGATGAGTCTTCAGGACTGTTGTTATCTACACTACGGGTCAAAAGTTTCAGAACACTTTTTCCAGTTTTTTACTGTTTCCTGTTTACTGTTGACCAAAACATATTCTAAACTTTTGATTCATGAAAGTGTCCATCTTTGGCAGATATAACAGCTGAACACACTTGTGGCTCGTTCTTTTTACAACAGAAATCAAATATTCTTCAGAAAGTTCTTCCCAAGTCTGTTGCAGAAGTTCCCATAAATGTGTGGCACTTGTCGGTTGCTTTCACTCTTCTGTTCAGTTCATCTTATCTGTTCAGTTCACTTTTTTTTTTAACCTCTGGCTGTTCAGTATTTATCTTTGTACCATTTCAAGCTCTTCATTGAACTTTCATGCACTTGAATTGCAATAAATAACTGGAAAAAATTGTGGGTTCTAAAACTTCTGACTGGTAGTGTCTGTATTTATTATAATGCATCTAGAAACCATATGAGTGACATCTGACAGCTCTACACATGTCTACTCCACTGACTACACAAAATGTACACTCATGAAGTTCATAAAGAGACACAGTGCAGCGCCCTGGGACCCATCTCGGTGATCTTCTTACTAGCCTTGGTCTGCACTGTCTTAGCTGGAAGATTTGATCTGTTACGTATATTTAAAAATGCCTGTAGAGTTGTGGATAGTAAACCATGTGTTCATGATGTTCAGTCATGTCCGCCGTTTTAAAGCGTCCTGGTTCCGTGTGGTCCCTGCTCACCTCCTCTGTGTCCGTCTGCTTTTTCCTCTCTCCGGCCGGCTGATCCTGCTGGTTGTGCCCACACTCGCTCCCATCCTGCCGGGGGCACTGTGGCGCCGCTGGCTCCTCTCGCCTCGCCGTGTTACCCGCTGACTTTGTACCTGTGACGATTCTCTGAACTTTGGAAATGTCCTGGAGCGAGAGCACACAAAACAATGGGAGGAAAATCTAATGAAAAGTCAATTCCAATCATATAGTTTCAGTAAGTCAAATAAAAGTCTAATAAATAGATGATTAAACTAATGTTTGCACTCTCCTACAACCTATTATCTACTTCTGGCCTTGTTTTATGAGGTTCTTATTTTCTGAAATGATTAACGTGTTCAAAGTTTTGGGAAGCAAAATAAGTTTCAGTGAAGTGAGAAATTTCAAATCCAACTAAATATTCAATGTGAATTTCTTTTGCTAAATAATTAATCCTCGTGCACCCTTTTAAAAATTACACCTGTGGTCCTTCGTGACACAATATTTTATGCAGTACAAGTTTTTTGTCCAACTTTTTCATATCAGTGTCTTCATTTACTTCTGCTCTAATCATACACACAAAATATTATATAATATTTTGAATTTTTAACACATTAAATGCCAGTTTTGTTAAAAGTTTGTTGTTTAAAAGTTTTGTTAAAAATGATATCCAACTAATTTTAACTTGCACACACACACACTCACACACACTCCCAAACAAACACATTCAATGCACTCTGGGACTCCTCTAGAACACACCCATATCATTTTTACATCAAATATCTACGTCTCTGGCCTAAAAATATAAAAATAAAAAATATAAAAAAATTCAAAAAGAGACTAAACCTAAACATTTTAAAGGGGTTTCAACGCCAAAGAATGAAAAATAAATCAAAAAGTAAAAAATAAACTGGTAATGTGATGCCAGTAAACAAATCCATTTACATTTACAAACAGTGTTGGGAAGGTTACTTTTAAAATGTATTCCCCTACAGATTACAGATTACATATCCCAAAATGTAGTTTGTAACGTAATCCAATAAATTAAATTACTTAAAGTGAGTAACGTAATCTGAATACTTTGGATTACTTGATATTGTCATACTTTTTAAAACTACATGAATAAAGTAACCACATCCTGAAAATTCATGTTTGTTCTCTTCAAATTGTCTGTTGAGCCCAAGTCTCCATGAACAGACTTCTGTTTGCTGTAGAGAAGCAAAGACTAGGATATCTTAACATAAGCTTTTTTGTCTTGGTTTTAGTTTCTAGTTTAGTCCTGGTTTAGTCCTGGTTTTAGTCCTGGTTTAGTCCTGGTTTTAGTCCACGCAGTACGGAAGGAGATGTGGGATATAGCCCAAAATGTGAAAACAGGAAAATACCACCATGTAATCCATTTATTTTAACAAAGTAACTGTAATCCAATTACCTCTCACTGAAACAGTAACTGTAACTGAATACAGTTACTCATAATTTGTACTCTGATTACGTAATGCCGGTACATGTAATCCGTTACTACCCAACACTGTTTACAAAAATGTGCCTGATTATAGACCGTTTAATTAATGTGATCTTGAAAAAAAACACAAAAAAACACAGAAATGAAAAAATGCATCACAAAATACACAAACTGGCCAATTTTGGTGCTGTTTGGTGCAACACGGCCAAAGTTATGCTAAAAAGAAAAGCTGTGATGTACAAAAATGTGCCTAGGTTTGCAGGAGGGTTATATTACTTCTTACCATATCAAGGACTATAAAAATCCATTTAAAATGATCCATTCAAAGGCACGGTACCTTTTTTTTAACTTTCTTTAAAACATGAAATGAAACAAACATCAAGCAACATCAAGAGCTACTATTTTACTATGCTTTTACTACTTTTTTTTTTCTTTAGCTTTAATCACTGTAAACAGCTTCTTACCAATGTTAATTTAAATCCTGAACTGTTAATAGTAAAGGTCATTTAATTTTTTACAAGGCCGATAGAACATTATAGGTTATGTTTTTCCACATAAAAACACAAACTGAAAAAAATGTACAAATAACGTAGAGAAGGTAAGAAGAAAAGGCGAATAATTCCATTTTGTCGGAAATATCAGCCTGAGCCGTTATACTTCGGGGATGTTATGTCCTCAGTGTTGCAGAAGGGGGCGCTCTCTTTAACTGGGTCAAAGTGGTCTCCTGGGGCTTGAGTAGAAGATGGATTCCTTTTCACTGTCCTCTGCCGTAGCTCTGCAGCCGCACACTGGACACTGGTTTGAATGGGAGTTATTTTTAGACTTTGGGCAGCCTTTAAACTCGCACAAACCGAGAAATGCAACAATGAAGCAACTGGAGACGAGACTGGATTCTGTCAGTATATTTTTCGAAAGGTGAGGGACTGGTATAAGATGTGTGGAATTTCTGATCAGATATTTCTTTCAAAATAGTGAACGGGCTCTTTTCACAGTACGTCTCGGCTAGTTCTGTTTGCAAAAGTGCAGCTCTTCACTCATCGTCCCATTCGTTCTCTATGGGGTCTTAGTCTAGCATCGCTAAACTAAATCAATAATTCAAGACCACCCAGCGGACACCGGGTTACACATGATAAGACCTTGCAGTGTAAATAATTCACCAAAAGATATGCTTATGTTTATAAAAGTAGGTATTTGTCTCAAAGGTAATGCTAACCTGATCTACAACTCAAAATACAACATACAGAATATAATCTATGTACGATGAAAGAGAAGTAGGGTTGTCAAAAGTATTGAAAGTCTGATACTGATCAATACTAAAACTAGTATCAGAACTAGATACTGTATTCTTTTGAACTATAAGTCGCTCCAGAGTATGAGTCACAACAGCCAAAAATGCATAAAGAAAAAGAAAAAAACATATATAAGTCGCACCGGACTATAACTCAAACTTTTTTTGGGGAAAAGTATTTTATAAAATCAGAGACCAGGAACTGACATTTCATCTTGAAAGTCAAGTTCTAGTATTAACAGTAGAACAGAGAACAACAGACTGTTAATGTCACATAAGAACAGTTCTTCAGGTAACTATAACATAAACAACAGAACAGGTTCACCAAACTCTCCATCTCACTCCAAATCACTAAATCCATTGAATTCTTCATCCTCTGTGTCACTTCTGACAACTCTGTGACCTCTGGAGATAAAGGGAGCGTCACTTCCTCTTCTGTGTCGCTGTTGTCAGACTCAGCATCAGTTCCAGTTAGAATTATTCCGGCCTTTCTGAATCTCGACAGGATGGTTTCAGTGTCACTGAAGTCCAAGCTTTGTCGATCCATCCAGTGACTTTCAGGAAAGTTGCATGAGGCACCCTCCCGGTTGTCACAAGTTTTTCTCTCACTTCAAACTTTCTTTCTGCTGCTCGATTACCGTTTTTGGCTGCTTATTTTGCTCCTTGCAGGTTGTACTCAGCAGATTTTATTTTTTTGTCTTCCCAGTCTTCTTCATAAGTTTGTTTAAATATTGTTTTCAGTGGTACAGAAGTAATGGTGCGATCGACTGTCATGATACAGACAGGACAGAGGCTCTTTCTGTAGGAGACATGTGCAGTAGAGCTAAGTGACAGTGGTACAGGAGTAATAGGAGCAGCAGATACTGACACACACGACTAGAGCGCCCTCTCGTGTCAGTGTCCCACTAGAGCATAAGTCACAGGAAACACCCAAACCATGAAAAAAAGTGCGACTTATAGCCTGAAAAACGCAGCATCCAAACATGAGTAGTGTTTCGATTAAGAATGGTTTACTTGTAGCTTTGTAACTTTCATTGACTCTTCTCGGTGGCCTCTTCAGACGGCTCTTCTCCTGCTAAAGGGATTAAGCTGGGACCCATTCTGCTGTGACTGCGAGTGTGAGGGCTCATGCCATTATCAGCTCATACAAAACGCAAGTGAACACAGCACAGGCCAGTCTGACGCCAATGGACCACAGAGGGCTAATACTGATGTGAAGATAGGTTTCACAGTAGGGATTAGATGAGGAAAATGTTGATACTTTACAGTGACATCACGCTGGGGGGGTTCTGTGTGCATGTTTGTGGTGGAATGTTCAGTATTTACCATGGTGACACAATGCACACAGCCTAAGGTTAAAAAAAAAAAAAAATTTAAACAACACATTTTCAGGAGCCTGTGATTGATACGAGCGATCATGGTGCAGTTTAGGAGTTTGATTTTCAACAAAAAAAGTTGAGAGTGACTGATTGAAAAGCTGAGTGGACTTGTTTAACAGCACAAATCATCTCTCCTGTTTTAGTTCCAACTAAATCAGTTCTTTCCGGTCAGATCGTGTTAAAACAAAACTCAGATTAAAGTCAAACTTGAGTAACAGAGCTTCAGATTGAGCAGTGCCTCCAGAGTATCAATAACAACGATCTTAAGATTCAGTCTGTGTGGAGTCTGTGTTGAAACGTGTTATGTACCATAATTTCCGGACTATAAGCAGCTACTTTTTTCTCACACTTTGAACCCTGCGGCTTATCCGACGATGCGGCGAATATATTATTTGTTTGGCACATTGTCCATTCATATATACAGTCTATGATTTGGCAACACAGCGAATGAGCACAGCCTTAGTGCAGAAAACGCCGCTGTTTATCGCCGTGTGATAAAATAAGTTATGATACTAAATGCTGTCTTAATGACCCGTATGTGTTAAATGCAAGTGTGTGTGGAAATGACGAGAAGAAACATCTCAAACTTCATTAGTCGGACATCCACTCATACCTGACCTTGCCCCACCCCCAGGAGAGTCTGAAATCCTACGAGACACTGACATGAAACCAGACAGGACAGAGGCTCTTTCTGCAGGAGACATCCGCAGTAGATTGTGAGGAGAGACTGGGGTGAAGTTCCGAGGAAGATGCAGGTTTGATTGTGTTTTGAACAGTTACTTTGCGCTTCATACACACACCCTTCTCATGGAAAATATATGAAGAAATGCAGATGATGCAGCTTTTAAGTTAAAGACAAAGACTGATGAAGAAGGAAATCAAGCTGCTGCACATGAGTTCAGCATCAATGAGTCGATGATGAGATTTCGGAAAACTGACTCAATGCAAAAAGATGACAAAAGCTTTCAGAGGCAATAAAAGCAGATGGCCCAAACTTGAAAACATTCTTAAAGACTGTGGTCTTCTTCGTCGTTCTTGGTCTTTGGTCGTTCTTGATCACCTGTGGCTCATATTCAGGTCCGGCCTAGATATGTACAATTTAAACATTTTGTTGATGTGTGGAAATGACGTTAATACACCAATTAAAGCATTGTACGTGATTTGTACTGTCTTAAAAAACATGAAAAAGAAAACTAGTTCACTGTAAAACATTTGCAGTGGTCCAAAGTTATTCCTCATGTACTTTATGTCTTCGGAGCATCCTAATTATTCACAGTGATGAGTTTCTAAGCGCTTTTCACGACTTTCAGAGACCTGAGTTTGGCTGTCAAGGAAACAAAATATTCCTGTAATCGCTCAGGCGTCCAGGTAGAATTTCATAGCAAAGTTCTAGAAATTCAGTTCTGTCAGCTCCTTTACTTTTCTGTCAAGGTCAAACTAGCAACAACTAGCATGCTAACATTGCACTACCTGATATTCAGACAAGAAAACGCTTTGTAATGAGGTGCAGATGGTACACAGTGAACATACTTTGACCTCATGAGCCGCGAGACACTTTTTGCTCAAATACATAGAAAAAATAAAATCAGGAACAGGGTCTTTACAAAAAAAAAAAATAAATTGTGGAAGTTGCGCATTGTGTTTTATTTCTTCCACTGAAATCCAAACCTGTTTAAGCTATTACTCATGTTGATCATTAAAAACAAGCTCTCATTATCTTTTATTCAGCAGGGACAATCTACGTTCTGTTTATTTCTTTTTCATCAGAGGCTTTTGTGCTTGTTTCTCTCTGGCAATCTGGCAACCCCGGTGACTGTACAGGTTTTGGCGTACCTTTGCGTGTGGCTGCTGGAAGGTGACCCTGGAGCTGTTGAGGAGGGGGGAGTATCTGAACAGGGCGCTGGGGTTGCTAGGGAAACGAGGGCTGCCGGCCTGGTTGTTGTTGTGGAGAACAGCGGAGAAACAGATGTGCACCGTGTCCTTCAGGGCCTTGAGCTGAGACTCCTGCAACACACACAGGTTAAAGTGCGGACGACAGATTAAACGTCCTATATTAAGCAGAATTCACTCTTGTGGGCTTTAAAGTTGTATAGAGGATTTTCAAGGAACGAGAAATCCAGCGACTGTTTGTCCTTTTTCAAATGTTGCGCATGCGTGAAACCACCCCCCCTCCCCTACAGCTCCTACGTAGAACGCCTTCCTCCCCTCCTCCTTATGCCAGAAACAGGTTTGTTTACAGCCGGTGAGCTGCACATGACTTGTAAACAACTAACTACAGTGTTGGTTAGGCCGGAGAAGTGAGGAGCGGGGGAGCGGGTGTGCGGACATTTCGTGCGCGGACGAGAAGTGAGGAGCAGGGAGAGGAGAGGGGAGAGAGGAGAGAGGGAGCGGTGCGCGGAGATTCCGTGCCCGGAGAAGTGAGGAGCAGGGGGAAGAGCGGAACGGGCAGCGGGGACAGGAGTAGGAAAAGGGAGCAGAGAAGGTTGCGCGGAGATTCAGTGCGAATGAACTAGCTACAACACGCAGCAGCAAGCGGACTCTTTCTTTGCCTTGAAAATTACGTTTTCAGACATAGGATATCGCTTTCGTGTCCTGAAAAACGTTTGACTAGCTCTTGGAAATAAAGTACGTTTTCATAATAAGCAGAAGTTACCTGTCCAGGAGTAATTTGGCGACCAATGCGTCAGTCTTTAGACCCTGCGTCTGCTTCAGTCGCGCCACCGCTGGAATGAATCTACAAGAATCTTAGTTTGGCTTCGCTGCTTTTCCCTTTGTCTTCTTCTTTCAGCGACCTCAAAAACGGACTTTCTTTTGCGGCTAACTGCTCCTGGATTCTTGTCTGCCATTGCAACAAACTTTGTGCGAACTGCGAGGAAGATATAGGTCAAAAAAAAGCCGCTAAGAACTGTTGCGTTGGTGGAGTAAACAGCGTCTGTGCATCTTGCGTCTGTGGACTGCGTGACAGGCGTACGTAAACCACGTACCGGCGGCGCGCAGGCAGGTCAGTTACGCTAGAAACGTAGGGAGATTGATTGACAGCCTGTCAGCTAACAGATAACGAGGCAATGTCGTTATCTATTGGCAAATGTTTAGCCCCACCACGTCCAGAGTTGATGAATTTTTATTCTCTTTTTTTGGTCATCATAATTACAAGGCTACTGCACCTCTATAATGCTATCATTGACAACTTGAAACAAAAAAAACAAAAAAAAAAATCCTCCATACAACCTTTAAGTCATGTCAGAATGATGTTACCTCCTAAAAAACAGACCTGGAGTTGTGTTTTCTGTAACTTCATGTTTGGTCAAAAATGTGTTTATGTCATTTTGTTTATATTTGAGTCCTCCTTTATCATGTGAATAAATATCGTGAAAAATCTTGAGCTCAAAATTGACCTTTGACCCTTATTTGTCAGTTCCTGTATCTGTCTTTGTATCATGAGCCAAAAATAAGAAGTCATGCAAAGGCAAAAAGCGGTAACAGTGTATGTTTTGTTTGTGATTTAGTTCATGAATATATTTTATTTTAAAATCCAACCTCTGGCCTCCTTCTATTTTGTCGCGGCCTTGGCACAGGGTCTTAACACATTACATAAATAAACCTTTGCATTCAATTATACTTCAATGATCTTTAATGTGAAAGTATTTGGTGTATTTATTCATACTCTACATCAGGGGTCTCCAACCTGTAGCTTGGGAGCTACTGGTAGCTCTCCATCCCTGTCCAAGTAGCTCGCTAAAGGATTTCTGGGTTACATGTATTGTGCTGAATAAGTAAAATTTGATCAATTAAACACCTTTTACTTCTGTACACGAATGCAAGCTAGATGCCAAACTTTCTATCCTAATAAAAGGATAACGGTTTATTTTTTGTAGGCATCTAACTGTACCTCATCTAGGGTTTACCGTGGCTCTTATATAAGCTCAATTTCTTGTGAACGCTCCCTGGCATTTTCGTTTTGTAAAAGTAGCTCACCGGAGGAAAAAGGTTGGAGACCCCTGCTGTACATAATATACTTGTCTGTCAAACTGTTTAACTGTGTAAATGTCACCACACGATCCTGATCAGCACTAAACAGGAAATCCAAAGCTCTTCTATATCATTTCAGACAAACACATGATGACTCGACCTTGATGAGGTGTTTTCTTATAATGGATGGAAGTCTGGGCAAAATCAAGCAAATAATAATGATCATGTCACTTTCTGCCTTTTGGCTTTGCACGAAAACTTATTTTTGGCATATGATACAAAGACCGAGCACAGGAACTGACAAATAAGAGTCAAAGGGCAATTTTGAGCTCAATATTTTTACAAATGTTCCTTCATTATAGAAACCAGTTGTCAAATTTTGGGAGCCCTATTATACTTTTTTCTGGACAAAACAAAAACTTTGAAGTTATTTTCTCTCAGTTTCACACTCTGGAGAATTAAAAGTTTTTTTTGCCTTTGTTGGGCAGTTTTATAGTAGTAGTATTACCACATGACATCACAAGGTGGAACTTGTTTGAGAGAAAAAAATGAGTTAAATATGTGTGAATGAAACAAAACACAACTTCAGGTAAGTTTGTGATGAGGGAAGGCAATTATAAGAAAGCATAATGTGGGCCCATGGGAGGTTTATACGTATGATTATCAAATTTTTACTTAATGTGGTAGAATAATACCTGTAGTAAGTATAAATTATACTTATATGTATAATTTATATGTATTATACTTGTATGTAGAGAAAATGTTGAAAAATATGTTGAAAATCACTTGGAAATCGAAATCGAAGTAGGGAGAATTTTGTTCAAAAGTTTTCCACATTTTACACAAGAAACATTTTTTCCAACATTGTTTCAACAAAATACACATGTTTTCTTAAATGTGTATTGGTAATGTCAGTTAAATAAACCTCCATTAAATACTTGCTTACTCATTTGCTCATGTCTATTTAAATACAGTCACATTTATTGCAAGTCATGTTTTGTACCTTATCCAGTGCAGTCTTCTCCAGTTCTTCTTTGGCTGCAGTCAGTTTCTGTTCCAGGTCCATGAGCTGCTGCCCCTGAGCAAAAACAGGGGTTGTTAAAGTAGAACAAAAAAAATATTGCAACTTTTTTGCTACAAGACTGCGTATATGGTGTTTGAATAACATAGTGTATTTTGTCTCTTTTTGGCAATGATTGTTCAAACTTGGTACATTTGCAACTTCGTGGTCAAAACACTGCCCTACACCTGGCTGTAAGCAGGAGCGGAGTTTGAAGTGTGAATACCTGATAGACCAATCACACTCCTCCTCATATGTCCAGACCCCGCCCCTCCTCAACCCCAACTCTCCTCTTAGTTTATCAGCACTATTTGAAATGTGTTTACGGGCAGAGTTCAGCTGTTTAGTCTAGGGATGGGCATGATTAGTCGACTCTTGGATAACTGATCATTGAGTATTTTGTTGATCATGTTCATTTTTAATCGACAAACTGAATGTATGTTGCTGTGCGTAGTGTAAGGAGACGAGGCTACGTCTGACACAAACACTAGAGTTGTGCCTCAGAGTCCCATGTTTGGGCTCTGTCTCCTTGGAAACACTGTACCGCTCAGTGAGTGTGTTTACATGCACATCAGTGTCCCGGGTATGATTGGGTTTTTTGAGTATCCTGTTTTTGTCATGCGTCCAAAAAACAAACACTTTTCAGCCGTTTCATCACAACAGTAGCCAAAATAAATAAAGTGACAAACATAAATAAAGTGAGTGAAATCATGTTAAATAAAGAGCAGCGCTAAACCTGCACACGTCTGATCTCTGAAAACATGAATCATCTCCAACGTGACATACACACAGACACTCATATTCCATTGAATCGTGTCCTTTAGTCCGACTGAAGCTGACACATCAGGACACAAGGAAAGGTCTGTTTTTTTTTTTTTTTCAGAGCTTATAGTTTATACAAATGAGCCATGCGGTTTTAAGTTTTGTTTCTGTAAGACGTAAACAAAAGTGTCAAAGCTGCATTAAACACATTATAATGTCAAACGGGCTGATGTGGCTCTATAGTGGTTATGGTTTATATGTTGTAAAGTTAAGTTTATTCATGCAGATTAGTCATAGTAAAAACAATGGTGATAATTTTAATATAAAAACATTAATGATGAATTGAAAATTAATAGTTAATTCTCCCGACAATCGATTATGAGAATTTTATCGAATGCCTATCCCTAGTCTAGTTACACTTTAGGGCTGGGTGAAATGACAATTCTAAAAAATATATATATTGTGATCTTATTTCTGTGATGATTTTGCCATTTTATGATTCTTTGCTTCTCTGTAAGCATGGACTTAACCAATCCCAATGTGAATTCAGAAGAAGCAGATAATTGTAATTACAATTTAATTACAGCTGCATTTTAAAGGTACTGTGTGTTCATGGATTCAATAACTATACTTTTTTTTTGACATACTCACCTCTAGTTGAGTGTCTAACAAAGTATAATGAGCCAGTTAGTCCTGTCTATTTTTTTTTTTTCTTGCAAAACAAGTAGGCGTCATCTTTCAACAATATTAAACTTTATCATGTAAGGCACTTTGAACTTTTCATGTTATTGCTTTAGGATGGATGGTTCCACATTATGGCATTTAATTTGTTTCCATGGAGACACATTAGAGCTCCAGGTTTAGTTCTTCCGTTATTTATCAGGGACAAATTCATTAATCTCACAAAACAAAAGGTCATCTATGCCAGATTACGCAACAGGTCACATCTATGGAGCGGTGATTCCACTTAATGTAAGAATGCAAGTTTTTTTTCTGTTTCGTAATAAGAAGTGCTCCACTGTGTTTTTAAACTCCATACAGTTTCACTACACAGCAAAAACTAGGGTTAAAATTTCAGGGTGAAAAAATTCAGAGTTGTTTTTAACACAAAAAGTTTGAAAAGTTTAATGGGGTTCAAGTTGGGGTTATTTGCCAGAGTTGATATGATTGAAGTTAATTCAACTTAACCTCAAGTGTTCATTCAACTTCCTTTAGTGTTAATTTGGCACTTCCCAGCACCACTTCAAACTCCCGCGAAAGAAGACCAGTTAGAACCAGTTTTGTACATAATTTCATTTTAAATTCACTCAAATAAAGTGTAAAAATAAAACACCTCTGAGTGTTGTTTAGCTAAATTAGGATAACCCTTCAAAATGTTATCCGTTTACTCTCAAAACATGAATATAACTCTTGATTTCAGGGTTAAACAGCAACTTTGGTCTAGTGTTACTTAATTAACATTTCCAAAAATGTTAAATTAACTCTTGAACAGATTGGACTCATATAAAACCCTGAGAAAATGTTAAAAACGATTCTGTAAGAGTCAGTTTTAACACTCTACTTTTTGCTGTGTAGAATCATTTGGATGATTTCAGCTCTGGAATTGCCAGTTAACTTGAAAATTACCATTACATGACATCACAAGGTGGAACAGAGCATTTTGAGCTTTAGAGAAGTAGATACACTAATAATAAAGGGTTACTCAAATGTGTGAATGAAACAAAACGCAACTCCAAGTCTGTTTTTGGAGGTAAGTGCATTATAACATGGCTTAAAGCTCACAAGAGTCAATTTTGCATAAGACTTTTGAACAACTACCTTGTCTTAATTCAGCTCTGAAGTTGTAGTTGAGATGTCTTTACTGGAGACTTGGAGAAAGTGCTAACTGGTTTTGGCTCTGTCGTGACACAGTGTGGAAAACAGGCCCTCAGACTGTGACTGATTACACTTTAAACAGAAGAGACTAAAGTGAGCGAATAAATGAAACGCAATTAGAATTTAAACCACACAATGCGCTCATTAAACGGAACTTGCTTGCTTCAGTCATTTTAGTTCAATCTGTTCTCATCGCGCTTTAAACATTACAAAGCGATGGTGTCATATAGAGTTTCTTCCGGCAGATTGATTCTTTGCTGCGATATTGTGCTGGGGTGTACTGCGTGTATTTCTATGGTGGAATGTTCAGCAGTTACCATGGTGACACAATCCACACATCAGCGAACACAAGCTGATACTCGACAACATACCTGGAGTTGTGTTTTGTTTCATTCACACACGTTTAACTCACCAATCCTGCAGGTTTAGTTCTTCTCTGTTCCACCTTGGGATGTCAGGAAGTGCTCCACTGTGTTTTTAAACTCCATACACCTTCACTAGAATCATTTGGATCATTTCAGTCGTGGAAATGCTTTACAAAACTCAAGGTAAAAGGAGCTGAGACCTTGGAAACTACAGCTTCGTGACATCACAAGGTGGAACAGAGCATCTTGAGCTTTGAAAATGCAGAGGCTAATAATAAAGGGTTACTCAAACACATTTAAATTAAACTAAACGCAACTCCAGTTATGCTTTTGATGAGGTAACAACATTCGAACCTGGCTTAAAGCTCACAAGAATCAATTTTGTGTAATGTACGACGATTTAAACCTTAAAAAAAACTATACAAAATGGATTTCTAAAACACATTTCCTGTCATCATTACAATCGTTCATGGTCCTGTTTCGGAGTTAGATTTTCAACAAAGCAATGAGAGTTACTGACTGAAAAACAGATGGCTAATTCTAGCTACCTCATGACTGTAATTTGATTTCAGAGAGACTTGTTTAACAGCACACAGCAGCTCATCTGTTGTAGTTCCAGTTAAATCAGCGCTTTATGGTCAGATTGTGCCAAAACAAAGCTCAGGTTAAAGTCTAGCTTGAGTAAAAGAGCTTCAGACAGAGCAGAGCCTCCATTTAGCATCAACCCCCAAGGAATGTTGACGACGTTCGCTGCAAAGTATCAATACTCAATTTGATCTGGTGGCTGACATCAGTATTTCAGAATCAATGGCAAACCTTGAAACTGAAGTTAAGTTTTGGTTAAGTTCACTGAAGAACTTTTATAGAAATGATAAAATGTATTTTCTCTTATATAATATTCTACTGTGCGAAGGTTTAGTCAGATTTCTTTGCTGTTTCTGTTAGAAAATCTGTAGAAAACACTGTATATCGTTCAGTAGATGGGGGCATTTTTACTGATATTGATATATGAGATCCATGGTGTTATCTGTACCAATATCAGCTCTGATAAATCACCCTATAAAATTCTTCATTATTATCATTAGGACTGTAATGATATCAAAGTTTCACAGTACGATATCGTCATGGTATGAACCTAACGGTATGATATTTATTGCAATATCGTGGGAAAGCTCATGATATGGTGAAGAGGCTCACAATTAGAGATGTAACAATATCCAAATCTCTCAGTATGATATTTTTACAATATACATCTCATGGTACGATATTTATTGCGATATCGTGGGAAAGCTCACGATGTGGTGGGAAGGCTCATGATTAGGGATCTAACAATATCCAAATCTCTCGGTATGATATTTACACGATCTACATCTCATGGAACGATATTTATTGTGATATTTTGTGTAGACTAACAAAACTGTTAGAGAAGAATTAAGACTTAAAAGTGCTTAGAACTGTTATATTTTCTTGAAGTCTGCACTGAAATGGAGCAAAGGATCATGGTCTTCTAGCTATTGCTATCTGGGGTGGCAGTAGCTCAGTTGGCCCACTGATCTGAAGGTTGGTGGTTCGAATCCAGTTCTTGACATAAGCATCACAGGTTGAGCGGTCAGATCCACTGACCCACAGGTTGGCTGGTGTGATTCCAGCTCCCACAGATGAATGTTGTCGTTGTGTCCTGGGGCAAGACACTTAACCCACCTTGCCCACAGTGTCTGTGTGCACTGGTGTGTGAATGGGTGAGTGGTTCCTTGTTGTAAAGTGCTTTGAGTGCCTTGAAGGTGGAAAAGCACTATAGAAAAATGTGACCATGACCATTTTACCATTGCTGCACCACAACTCTTAATTTCAGCAAAGAGACTTGTAATTCGATATATCCTGATGGTCCACGATATTATTGTGAGAACTATGACGATACAATATCACGATATTTCAGTTATTGTTACATCCTTTATCATCATTATTATTATTATTAGTAGTAGTAGTAGTAGTATTTGTAGTAGTATTTGGTATTGA